AGTCCATACTAAACGTTTAGTGTAGTACAACAGTTCAATATCGTCACATTTAATTTAATATTATTAAGTACTTTTATAGAAAATTTACAATCATACATTCATTTTTATAGCAATCGAACTCCTCTATTTTGAATATTAACCTTACATTTACTGTTTTCTCAAGCTGGCCATTTTACCACTCGCTCTAGTTCATATCTGTATCACTCTTAACTTCATCTTTAACTCACCATCTATCTGCAACAGAATCCTTGCAGCTTTACGGCTTTAAACAAGTTTCGTTTCAATTCAGTTTCACAGTTATAGCCAAATTGACAGTTCAAGAAAGTTTTTTTTTGAGATACTGACAGATCTTGATTTTAATTTAAACTGTCAAAATATATGTTGCTATTGCTATTGCTATTTTATTTGGTCGTATCCTCGGTTGTTGTAAAACATTTTGACCGACTTCCTCAAAGAAGGAGGTACTCAATTTGTCTGTACGTTTTTAATAAATGTAGAAAAACTAATATTCTTTCATAAATATAATATAACATCTACACATTCGTTTCATACGAAAATCCCTTTACTATAGGTGTTGCTGGGCATCGTTCATCGTGGAGTTTTAGTCGGTGCAAGTCCACCACTTGTTAATACCATGTTAATAAAAACTACCGGTTTTATTCATTTTTTGCTCAGCTTTACCTTATTTTAAAAATATGATTTCTTTTTCATACTTATATATCTTTTGAACCATATCAACTCATTTTGGCTGGTAGTATGGAGTCTTCTTTTTATTATAATCATGTCATTTTTAACTTCTAGTTCAAGGGTACATAGGGGTTACATTTGAAAAGAAACACCAGTAATTTTATAACGATTTATTGTACAAAACAATAATACATTAAAATGTACAGGTATGTTTAATTTTTGGACCTCTTAGGTCCCGAACACTGGATAATATGTATATCCTTCCCTTACAGACACCATATTGCTCGTCGAGGCGTCAGCACTAATAGAAGTATAGATTCGACTCTAGATAAGCAAACTAGATATAACATAAAAATATAATAATAAATTAATAGCATGCTGTCAACTTAAGTACACAATAGTTTATCGCACTGCTTCTGTCGACGGGCACCATGTAGTCTTTGAGAAAACAACGTAATTTAACAAAACGATTAAACCTCCTAAGTATACTGTATATACACGTTATGAACACGTCCTCTCCGGTGATCGCAGCTGCGGCGGCGGGCTCCCGAGTCAACTTTTGCGGAAACTAAAAGCCAATGGTAATATCGGGAGTCGGGGGCGGTCCGAGTGGCAGAGGGACTATGTACTGATCGATCGATGGTGGGTCGGTTACCACTTGTCAACGACCACCTCGTTCACTGTAAAACAATGTTACCGTTAGTTGGTGCACGCTCGAATGCCGCCGACCGAACTTACTCTGTGCGGAGAGATCACGAACGTCTCCTAGTTATATTATATGTGTAGTTTTTTCACTGCGGGATCACAACAAACAATGAGTGTTCATGGAATATATGCGTGCGGTGCTACGGCGACTCCCGGCGCTTACAGCTTCCACGTTGGCTGGGCTGGGGGGCAGACAACACCACGTTAGTGCATGCGGGACGGAGGGGGTTGGGGTATGGGCACTCGTCTCTGAATCGTGCCCTTAAGTTTTGCAATACGACTGCCCGAACAAAGCGAAACGTTTGCATACACTTTCCAAAGTGAACAAAGTTTCGTTTTATTTGGTGTCGTTTTTAATTCATTATATTTAATTTTTGAAAAATAAAGGAATCGAATTGAAATATCAAATAGCAATTTATTTTCATTAAGCTTGCAAAACTTTTAGTAGTGTTAGCAGGAAAAGTAAAACAACATAGAAGTTAGTAAATTGTGCGGAAACTGTACCTGTTCTTTTATCCAAATCGAGGAGTGTGCAAGTCATTTGAGAAAATTATTAGAATGGAAGGTTGTTTCATTGAGATATAAGGAAAATAACAAACGTTTGGTTCGATAGTTTAATTAATGTAAATCAAGGGGGGGATGTAACTGTTTGTGTTCACTACATTTTGGTATACGAGAGTCGGAGGGGTAGAGGATGTTCATAACAAATTTTGAGCATGCCCTTCATTGTGCAGTGTCGGTGTATGTGTGTGTTCGATGGCTTCAATGTAACTTTATTACATACATTTATATTTATCTTAAACATTATTTGTCTCAAATCAAATTCAATCAAAATAAACCGCACTCTCTCTGAGAGAGCATGCATCTCAAACATGCACAATCTTATCAATAAAAAAAAAGACTTATGTATGTACGGACTTGTACCTTAACTCTAAACAAAACGGACAAAGTTGTTACAATTTTGTAAAACTTACGATAATATTATGTCGCCATTGATTTAATTTTTTCTAAGTCCAAGTAAGTTGTAGTGATTATTCCCAATGCTACCGAATATTTAACTATTATAATTATCTTTATAGAACAAATCTATAAAAAAGATTAACTATTCGTTATTGTGTTTGTACAATGACTAAGTATATTGCTTCATAAATTACTCCATTAAATACTCGACATTTATATAATATAGAACACGGCTAAATGGTAAGAATTTCAGAATAACGATACACAGATTTATTTGCAAATCTTCCGAACAATGTACATAAGTTATAACACATTCATTAAATTAGTCAAAAAAAAAAACAAAAGTTAGAATTAGGCTACAAACCAGCATTCGCAGAAAACTGTTCGTTTAAAAAAGGCAATGAAAAAAAATGGAAAGTGCATTCTGGTATGTTAACAAGCGACCACAAGTATAAGGACACGAGAAGCAGAGAATTGTAGAAAAATTAAAGTAAAAAAAAATACCGCTGAGCCTAACCATACACTTATAATAAATTACTATATGCTAACAATGCACATTACTAGGTATAGTACAAAGAATTCAATACATATATAGACTGTTGTAAAAACATCTTTATTCCAAGGTTGTTCTGTTTTGTGCAGCCACCTCATTAAGATTATATTAATTTAAACGAGCCTACATTTTCTAACACCCATAATTACTGTTAAGAATAAGAAGTACTTCCGATATTTTTAACTTACTAAAAACACTCTTTATTTAAAATGTTTTTTTTTTTAATTCTTTAAAAATGCAGCGTCACATTTATGACATTAACTTGACAGGTAACTCTTGACAGTTCTTTCTGAACCGCAAACGCGTTGTCACGACAAACGATCTTAGATTTCTGACATTATTTATATATGCATTGAAATCTTCATTAAAAGTTAAATATGTCTGTAGTCCACAAGGACAAGGTACTGAGCTGTGTGCGAGTTCTTTACAGTACAATTAGACAACACCGTCTCAAGAAACTCATTAAATAACATTTGTAAACTTACAGCCTTTAATAAACCTTGTTATAACCAATAGATAATTTGGTGTTTTATATAGGATGGTCTTCACAGCCACTTCGCGTGGTACAAGGGCTGTGAAGTTTAAGGAAATTATTGTCTCGCACGAGCAAAATGCAAACCTCAATTAGATAATAAATCTATAAGAGACTTCAAAACTTAAGGTAGGTTGAATGAGCGCCGTCGTATCGAGTAGCACCGCTTACAATGTTCTTTA